AAAGCTCTCTACGTAAGAACGATAAAATATGTACTAATAAAATTTATTAATTTATTGAAGAATACCAATGTTTGTATTACAAACATTGTTTGGTTAAACTTTTTTATAGTCTAGTCCTTTTAGTGTATTTTTTTCAAATGTCTATGTTTTTTTGTTTTATGTCTAAAGTGGTAAATTTATGTTTGTATAATTGTTGTTATTTATATTTTTTACATGGTTTTTATGTTGTCTTATTTGTTGTGTTTATTTAATCTCAAACTTTAATCTACAAGTTAAATCAACTATAGTATATCTACTACCCATGCACAAATTATTTTTATATTTATATTAACGGTGTGAGGTCGTGTGTAATTTTTAACTTAGAACATTACAATATATTTGTCATTCTAAAAATAATTGTTAAAACTATCAAGAGCTCAAAATGGGTTTTTTTTATATAATAGATATACATTTGATATAAAATAGAATATGTATAAATAGTGGCTACTGTGATAAGGTGTGAAAGGTCTGAACAAATTAATCATAATAATGTATTATGTTTAGTCTAGATTCATATAGAATTTGTGTGTTGTTGATGTGTATGTATGTGTTATGTATCTATGTATTTATTTATTTATTTATTTATTTATTTAATTTAATATAATTAAGTTGATAATTCATGTAAAAATATGTCAGATGACTAACTGATACATACTGTTATAAATCCTGTTAATTACTAAAATATTAATACTGTATTAATAAAATACTCAAGTCTATTAGAAAAAACCATTTAAAACTTAACAAAGTGTGAAATTATCTAATTAATATTATACACCATGGTTTATTGTTAGTTGTTGTATTTGTGTACAAATTGCATTTGATTTTTATTTGAAATTTACTGATGCAGACCATGCATTCTGTTGAACCTTGATTTAATCCTCAGGACATACAGTGGATAAAAGTACCACAAATTTGGTATAGAACCCAAAATCTAAAATATTATTTAAAATTGTTTCAATTTTTCTTATTCTATATTGTAGGTACAGTAGGATGGCAATAATACATCTAGGTGAACAGTATTAATAATCCTGGATACAAAGTCACCTGCAAAAAAAATATATAACTTATACTACTAAGGAAACTTTCCTTAGTGAAATAAATTCCCCAATTTTAATTATTAAATGTGTGATGGAGTATGTTGTAGCAAGTCATATTGATTCGCTTAAAACAGAGCTAAAAATCTAATGAGTGAACTAAGAATGTGAATATGTTGTTTAAAAAAAGGTCATAGTGAATTTAGGAATGTGGAGGCCCTCAATCCACCAATCATAGTTTTAAGCGGGTAGCTATTATTTTTCAATTCACAAATCTAATATAGTAATATATTTGTGGGATTGAATTTAATGTAATAATTGGCAGGTATATTAAAATTTTCTGAAAAATAATAAACAAAAAAAAAAATATATAATAAATCAAGAATAGTTATTTACCTTTATTAAATATTATATTTAGATTATATTTTACAACCTTATGATTTACGTATTAATATATAATATATTATATTAAATTTTATAATATGTACTGGTCTTTTGTTGTTCTGTACCTACTAATATCTTTTCTCATAATATTAATACTTCAAGATTTCGACATCTCAAAATGTTGAACCGCTTAAGAAAAATCTATTTCTATTGATTAGAACTCAGATTTATATGCATTTGCATATTTATTCTGGTTGATTGTATGATATGCTAAGAGAGCACTGAATTTGTTTCATGACAACAATTTAAACTAACTATAAAATGTATGGTGCATATCTTTCACATTTCGACATTTTTCAAATTTTTTTTTTTATGGCTTATTTAAAGATTTTTATAACATATTTCATCTTTTAGTGCATGTTTTGGTGTTTTTTTGTTTTATTAGGTTCTTCATAAACGTGGTTACAGCTTCTCAGTCCAACCATGAACCAAATATAATTTATCAATAAAGACTGAAATTGTATGCACTAAATATGATACAGATAACAGATAGGCATGGTAAATTGGTAAAAATCACAAAATATCCAACAATATGCTCAACAACTTTCAAAATAAGCAGTACGCTTATGATTAAAAAAATTACCTAATGAACATTGATACAACAAAAAAGCAAAACAGGTACAAACAAAGGTCTATCATAAGCTTGTAGCAGCCATGTAATTATTTCTTTTCTTTAATGGCAATAAAAGCAAACCATAATATTTTTCTTCGAAATATTATTTTCGATTCTCAAAAAATTTTCAGTGTTGATTAACAAAATAAAAATATATACCTTCATCAGTGATCGGTCATTAATATGCAAAATAATACTTTATCTATGAAATCAGTTTAATTTTAAACGCCAGCATTTTAACTTCTCATAGTCGTGCAGTGTGAATAAGGCTCCCTGCAGGAGCTGGTAACTCAGTAGTTTGAAAAATACCTATGTATAATTCCGGTCTCTATACCCAATCATCAATTTTGTTTCAAGATAGGTATTTAATTAGTATTGTTATCATTGAATATCAATATTATTTTTAACATGGCTAAATAACTATTATTAGCCATGTTTTTTAGCTTTTTATATTTTAGGTTTCGTACCTGGGAGCCTAGGAAGGTTGGCCACTCCATCCCCTCCCCTCCACATGCGCACGCATATGTATATTATATTTAAACACAATTAAAAGCTCATACGAATTTACCACCTCATCACCTGGGTGAGGAATTTCCTATTATGCCCACCCTTAAATGTGGGCCTGACTAAACCCTATTAATTTCGAGACAGTTTGGTGCCACAATGTGATAATGATTTTATCGCCACCTTCGTCACCCTAAACGATATCTATGAAGCCATAAAATACTAATCATCATTCATCACTACTTCTCGTATTATTGAATAATGAATTAGGTATTTAAAGTTACAATATTGTTAGTGTTATAACGAAAGTACCTCTGTTTTGGCGAAAATTTTTACTGAGGTAGCGTGGCCGAGCGGTCTAAGGCGCTGGTTTTAGGCACCAGTCTCTCTGAGGCGTGGGTTCGAATCCCACCGCTGCCAATATGTATCGATTTTTTTATGCATTTCAAATTTTTTGCAAACTGCTTCTGACTATTATTATTGCACATGTTTATTCTACTTCAAAATATAACTAAAAACATGAAAAATATTTAGAATTTTAAAAATCTATTAAATAATAAACAATGATTGGCGCTTTGTGGCAAAGGGCATTCCAGCACCCGCAGAGGGTGGCAAGGTGGCCATTGTCTCCCCTGGGAATTTTTAATTGACTTTATACTTAAATATAAAATCACTATAACTAATGATAGGTACATTTTAACTTATAAGACATTTTTACTTGCGTTTGCTTCATGGATACTTACTTAGAAAGTTTTATCCGTCGAATCAAAAAATAATTGTATAATTTTCCTTTAAAAATATTGTCTAAAATGCCCATGTAAAAGTTCTAAATGTGGAGAATATTTGTTTAGAAAAGTGAAAATATTTTGACTGAAAATGAGAATTCCTCATTTTCCAGGAACTTCACGCGTAAACGCGGCAGCCGCGCATCTACCATTATTTCTAAAATATATTATAAAAACTAACCGGATAACTCGCCTATATTTGATTCTACCACGAGTAATTTCGAATCCAAAGATACCGAGCTCAAAATAGATATGGACATCAAAGTATCAAACACTGTATTATAATATCAACTGTAAATAACTGTGCACATATGAAATACTTAAGAAAACTTATAAAAAACGAAAATATCATATGCCTAAGCCTAAGAATAGCTCAACATAAGTCAAAATATTTTGAAAATTGTATGTTGATAGAAACAAACATTCATTAGAAATTGTATTTATGTACAGTAATTTTTTTAGAGTTATATCAAAAACCAAAACTGATTTTGTGTAAAAATTCTCGTTTTTCCTTAATATTAATTTGGTATTTTAGGGCGTTTTTAGGGGAGCGCAGTGGGCAAGTAAAAATCACTTTTAAAGATAAGATTATCTTTAATTGTGGTGATAGTAATACCTTCATAATATCACTTATTATACGTCCAGATTTCCAGAACAACCCTTTTTACTCGGTTGGGTTTTTATATTGGACTAATTTTATCTATTATCAAATTTAAAAATAATAATATTTAACCCTATAGGGTCTGCCGCCTAGGCTTTTTTGATATTTGTATTCTAAAACATAAGTATTTTAACTGCAGAGCACACAAAAAAATTAGCAATCAATTTCTTCAACCACATCAATAAATTCTACACGCGGTATAACCTAACCTCACAGTGGGAAATTTTACAGACAAAATGATCTACCTTCTGTACGCCACCGACTCAAGCGTGAACTCGACCTTTAATATAATACTATTATTACTTTCTTAATTTTAAAAACTTTATAACGTAGTATTTTAATTTAATTTTAATGTTATAGTTAAGTACAACTGTACAAAGTGTATGTACTGTAGTCAAACAAGGTATATAATAAAGGGTAATATAGTTAATTAAGGTTATAGGTAAATAAAATAAGCATATTTATTTGCAGTGCCTATATAGGTGTTATGAACTATAAATTCAATTGAAAATTGGACGTTTTTAGTTGGGTACACTTTTTTATGATTTTCATTTTTTATTATACATCATGCACTATAAGCTATAACCTATGTATGTAAAATATATGTGTTATTATTCTATATATACGTTCGTTAATCGTTATAATATGTTAAAATAAATATGAACTTTGTGCACTTGAATGACGTAACAACGACGTCCGATTGGATAAAGCCTATATACCTATTACCTATCATTGAATACACTAACAGTACACCATTTATGTCTAAATCATATCTGTATAATAATTTTAGTGGTGGTACGTATGTCGTACATACATAATATTATATTTGAATGTATACAGAGCGATTTAATCTATGGCCGAACACTAACACCTTATTATCTACTAGGCATATATGTATATGATGTACCTACTACCTATAGTTATATTATATATACTTAAACCTATAAATGTGAGTTATGTGTATAGCTGCCGTATTAAACCTCGCAGGCACGTGTTTTGTACAAATAATAATCAATATAACAAATTAGTAATCATTACAATAATATCGAGTTCGGTATGCGAACACCGTTGATTAATGTTTATATTTTATTCTAAGTTCTGACGTCGTAGCCATGCAGTGTTCAAAAACTGTTAGGTGGTGTTTCGTGTTTATAGCTGTTCTGTTTGTACTAACGTTCGTGATTTGCTTAATATATTCCGACCATTTCGAATTCACCCTTTAACCAGTTTTTAATATGTTATTGTGACAAACATTTTGTCATAATATTGTGATGGAAATTTATTTTTTAGAGTATCATGAGTGTGATCACGGAGAACGGTAATTTATATATTTTATTTATTTCTGCAAGACTAATAAGAATAGGTACCTATAATAATATGATGTATTTATATAATTTTTATAAATATATATTTGTATTAGGTATTATAAATACATTTTTTATACAAATATGGGACGAACCTGCAGTGGCGTAACTGGATAATAATCTTGGGGGTGGGAATAATTTATTTCCTAAAATCAAAACCCCCACCCAATTTTGTAAAAGTTAAGTAGGTATATTGCATTCTTTCTTAACTTAAGTACGCAAGTGCCCCTTTGCCCCTCCGCAATTAAGCCACCGAGTCAAACATTTATTGAGTTGAAGTATTCTGATATATTTTTTTTTTCTATAACTATAATATATAGTATGTATAATGTATTATATATTTATATTATGGATAACTGTATAAATATTACAATAATAATTACGATGTAGGTATTATTTGAGTTAAAAAATTGACCAAACCTATCCAGACAATATTAATATATGAACATAATACCTAATACTTGAAAATACTTTTACAAAATCGTTTTGTAGTTTATTTATACTGCACTAAAATAATAAAATGGTATTTGTATTGAATTGGTCGGTCAGCGTGACCTTTTTTTCGATAAAAATAGTATTCCCATCTTCGATTGATAATGGAACACATTTCATTGTATTCGATACGAGGTGTGGCAATTAAATAACGAGAATTTTAAATTTTATAACATTTATTTAATATTTACAATGATTTATGGACCCATGCCTTCACAGTACTCTCCTCCGAGTCGAACACACTTGGTCCAGCGTTCTTCCCATTTCTGGAAGCACTCCTGGAAGTCTCCAGAAGTTAAACTCTTCAACACCGTTGTTACGGCACGTTGAATGTCCTCCAAATCCTCATAGCGATGTCCTTCCATTGGTTCCTTTAACTTTGGAAATAGCCAGAAGTCCAGTGGAGCCAGATCAGGGCTGTACGGGGGGTGGGGGAGCTTTGTTATGTTCCTACTGGTCAAAAACTGTTGAACTTTTAATGATGTGTGAGGAGGCGCATTCTCATGGTGAAGGACCCAACCATTTTTGGCTAATTCCGACCTCACACGAGACATTCTATGACACAAAGCGATTGTGTAAAAACTTCAATTCGGACTGTGAGGCGTCGATCTGTTCGCACCAACACACTTAAACGTTCGACATTTTACCAAGTGTGCACGATTTTAGGGGCACCTGACCTTGCATCGTCTTGCGTCGATTCTCAGCCTGATGCGAAACGTTATGCCCATTCGTACACACGTGGTTTTGATAAGCAGTCATTACCGAACACACGCTGCAATTTACGAACAATTTCGGCCGTTTTTTTCACCAGATTTCACCAGAAACTTGATGACTATTCGTTGCTCGTTTTTTACGTCACACATTTTTGTACGTCACGACACTACACTACTAACTTTAAAAAATAGGAGAGCACAAAATATAACACCGATCACTATCAAACTTGGCAGACTTGTGTATTACCTCGTGAACTTTAAGTCAACAAATTTTAAAGGTATCACTGTTACCACTATAAAAGCTAGGAACAAATTCTCGTTATTTAATTGCCACTTCTCGTATTACAATATTTACCCGGGCATAACACGATTGCGTATTTTTTAACTTTTTATAATGAGCAAACACAACGCAAAACAAATATTTTATACTGTAGGATTTATAGAAATTAACACACATAAAATTGTCAATTATCCTGTAATAATAATAAAAACAAATTATAGGTTCATACAATTCAAAAAATGTCCCAACATTAATAATAATGTAATACGTAGGTCGTTGAGTCAAAAATAAATAATTATAATACAAAAATCTTATAACTTTTTAGCACAAAAACGGTGTCTCAGTGTTAGTAAATAATTATTTGACGATATCTGGTTATTTTTATATTTTTTCCACGTATTAATTAGAAATATAATATTTTTTTGTTTTTCTTTACGAGGCTTGTTAATATTTTGTTGTTTTATGCTATATATTTTTTAAATAAGATTCACTTTGAATATCTATTAAAATGTGTATAATTTGGTGAATAAATTAGTAAATAAATGGGTGGGATGTATAAAACTGCGCAAAGTATAAAGTATAAAGTGGCTATGGAAAGATTCTGGCCCATTGGTCGCTCTTGCCTCTGTTGAAGGTTCAGTTGCACATCAAATCGGTTGGAAAGTCGCATCAGATGATATGTAATTGTTCAGTATATAATCAGCAAATTTAAAATTATCAGCAGGTCTATTTTCAATTAAATAAGCAAAAGCATATTCTACATCTTCTGGAGGTAAAAATCCAAGTGCAAAAAATTGTTTCAACCAAATACCTAGTTTAGACTTTGAATTATAGTTTTTTTAATAAATTACTGTCACTTTGAATTTTCCTGAACCAAGATTGGCCTAAATCATAATTTTGCAGTTTGGGAAAAAATATCTAACAGCATTGTGAGCATTTTTTTCGAAATCGAAATCAAAATGAAATTTTGATTGCTTTAATGAACTTTGTATATCTATGTCAACCAATTTTAAACATAAATTAATAATTGAGTGTCACATTTGTATATATAAGTTTCAGTTGATTTTGAAGTTAAAAAACAGCAAACTATAGGAACATAAAAACTGTTCTGTTAAATATGTATTGTATACAGTTGTTAAAAAAGTTTGGGTGCATATGAAAATGTTCCATCTGTAAAAATATGAGATGACAGACTTAATAGTTCAAGATTAGTCTTACAAGTGAATATAATTGCACTTGAAATTTCTTCCATGTGACAAAATAATTTACCAGTATTAGTTGTAATATTTTCACGACTATCAAATAACAGAGTTATCAATTCGTCCTTAGGATTTTGGAATTTTCGGAATATTTTTTCTACGTTTATCATAAATACATTTTCTCCATAACTTTAGATCAGAATAAACCGGCTGGATATCTTTTTCCGTATCTCTAAGTTCTTGTCTAATTAGTTTATTGGGTCTAGTTGGAAAATTATTTTCGCATTTTATTTTTAAACTTTTTCAGAACTTTGGATTCACTAAATTTATACTCATCAACTAAAATACATGGTTTATCTCTTTTGGTTTCAAATTTTTTTGTATTTGTATTTCCATTTTTCAAAAACAAAATTGTACAATATAAAACAGAAATATACACGTTGCGCGATACGAGACTGCGACATTACAATTTCACGTTTCGGTTATATGTGAATATGTGACTGGCGACTGAAAGCGACTGATAAAATAAATATTATCTTACTTTATTGTCGGATGGAACACTAACCTATCAGTTATTGGTAATAAAATATTATTTACAGACTCGCGTCGCTACAATACCTATAGCATCCACTGTTCGTAGTAATTGTATATAGGTGGGTTTCTTAAAACTTAAAATATAATAATTTAAGCCAATAATATAAAATAAAATAATTTTTGTGAGCAATCGTGTTGTGTTTGCTCAAATATAAAAAAGGAAAAAGTGCGCAATTGCGTTGCACCGATTTACCCATCTACACAATATACGGGCATAAGGCATTGGCTGTAAAATAAAATTTCAGAAATCAATATTCTACTTACAGTTACACTGAGTTGTAAGGGATAAAATGTTAGACAATCTGAACAGTTTTAAGATTTATTATATTTTCTCACGAACACATCAATTTCAAATGTAGGTACGTCTAGTAATTTTTTACTTACCACTCCGACTGAACGACTAGTAAAATAATACCTATTAATATTATATAATTAAATTGAATAAAGGAGCCGCCTCAGATCTTCTATGTTCTAATATTTGAAAATGTATTATCACACGTGTGCTTTATATTCTGTGGTTATTGGTTAATGGTTATAAATATAATTATAAACTTATATAATGTAAAAATCTTATTTTGTTGATGTAGAAAAAACTGTGGTGTGCAGTCGTATGACATATCATAATATATACACGCGTCACACTGGTCACCTGCAGGCTGCAGCGGAATTGAAAAAACGCAGAAACTGGCGCCGTATTTATAATTTAAATATTATTATATATTATAATATTATGTATATGACTGGAGCACTACATAAACCATATATTTATATACATATAACTATTACCTATACCTATAAGTATATGTAATATGTATAGACGTATAGTTATATATATATCTGCGTGGATTGTGATGTATACCGCATGAACAAAGATATAACCAAGGTGGATTTATAAGTCCACCTCGGATATAACTAGGTATCTTACTTCGTGATACACACAATGAAATGATGTGTAATGACATCATAGACACTATTAGGGTGTGCAGACACGTATAGTGTATTGGGATGGCGGGATCTATGGTATACCTATACTTGCGATGCCACGTGGATCCGACGTATAAGTAATTGATCTGCAAGTATCCAACATTCATCGCCCGATTTGATCAAGACGGCCGAACAACCAGTGAATGATATATTTTATAATCAATGATATAGACATATAGTTTATGATAAATGATCATAATATTATAATCGGGAATCGGGATCTATATAGGAGGCCTTATTTACTGCTTTAGTCTTCATTATTACCTATTGCCTAGCTATGATGCTTTGGTATTTTATTATTTTGTTTGCTCTTTTTTTTTTTTGACGCTAAAATACTACTTACCCATCTACTTCTGATTATATAATATAAATTATATTAAATTATATTAATAATAAATGAAAATCAAAGTTATTAAACGGCTGTGTTCAACTTTTAATATCTTCCCAGGTATATATTATGGATAATACTATGTATCTATGTAAACCGAACAATTTTAGCTAGGTAGGTATTATTGTATTTGCTTTCTATATGGTATTACATTTTATATTTGTAAATATATAATACTTTGATTTCATGTTTTTCATTTGTTATTCTTTTATCTCCTTCAGAATAATATGTACTAAATCAATAATCTTGCATACCTATATTATGTTGATATGCTATTGATTTTAACAAAATCAAAATCAATTAAAATAAAAGGTACCTATCTCACCTATTGCAAATATGAAATACATGACGTGTAATTTTCACTTGTCTCCATCTTTGGAAAGCAAATTAACAGAGGAAACATAAAAAGGTCAATTTCTACAACTTCCGAACAATCAATTTTATTATTGACTAATCCAAGTATCACTTTCCAGCAAATGCCAAAAACTTGGTGTCGCACATAAGTACCTGGTAATTAGAAACTAGTAAGTACATACTATCAGTTATAACTTATAACACAATGTATACACCTTAAACTGAGCTTGGCGAGATTTGATTATGTAATTATTATTATAAACGTATAAGTGTATAACTTATAAACGCAATATTTAAGTAGTTGTTAGACTGTTTTAAAATCAAAGCTGCCCTGCTCATTATTTGATAATATTGATATTCAAAGACTGATTAAAATAATGAATTTCCATATCAAACAATCTTTTTTCTTTATTGAAATTATATAATAAATTCATAATATCTTAGCCTATATAGAGTGATTTTTTAAGCATGTTCATCGTTCATCCCATTTGTAAGTTTGAATTACGCATATAGAGGCACCTACTTTGTCTATTGACTATTCCACGATAGAATAATCAGTCCGCCGACCAATGTTGCCCCGATAACTTGGAAAGAGAGGGTCGGTTCATCACGACGCACGAGTCAGAAAATTGTCGGTCTCTGGTGACGTCTTTCGTTTAGGATGTTTGAAGAGGAAATTGGTGTCCACCGTCGCCGAAGCCGTCAGACTTGATGCTCGAAAACAGATTACTCTCTTGTAGAGAACTTCAAGACTAAACCCTAAGTCGACAAAAATCACCCGATTAACATGTAAGTTCTGATTTGAAAAACCAAAGTTGGTACCCACAGAATACTCCTTAGATGTTGTAAAAAAATCAAAATATAAAAAATATCGTCTTAAACATAAAAATTCCAAGGCAAATAATTTGAATTTATGCGTAGTTCGGAAATGTAGGAACGGGATGAACATTTAAAAAAAAATAACTGCATACACAATAGTAAATGGTTTGTTGAAAAATAATAAATATTACACAACATATTTTTAATTAATGATCAAAAATTATAATTGGTTTTTTTTTTTTGAGTGATTAATGATTGATTATTGTATCATGTAATGAATGCATCATAGCATTCATTAGTCATAATTAACATTAACTAACTATCGAGCTTTAAAGGTAACATAAATGCATAATATATTTATATTTTATACGTTTATTGTAGGTATGATATTACATTTCCATTAATTTGATTTGTTTAAATTAAATTAAGTATCTTATTTCTTGTAAATTAAGATTTGTGTGATGAGAGATAGTTGAATGAATCTTATAAGTTTCCTCAAAGTCGATTATCTACATATTTTGAGCATTCAAAACGATGTAAATTTTTATTTATTTTTCTCTTGTTTAATTTGCCGTTGTCATGCTCCTGGGGAAAGGACAATGGTTTTATAAGCATTAACATCAGTCATGATAAGCTAAAAATTAGCTAACATTTAGTTTTTATGAGTATAACGATACACATATTAAATATCATACCACATAAGTAATAGGAATAATTATATTTAATAATAATGATATTTTAATTTTTAATATTGCGGCGGTAATCAGTAATCACTATAATACTATATTATAATCAGTATTGCTGCCAGCTGTAGTGTTGTTGGACTCACAAATGTAGTTGTGAATTGTGATTGTACTCTCGGTGGAGAATCTGTAGTCCATAATAAGTGTTTTCTTTGTGTACACTGTACCAAACAGTGTGACCTTGACGGGCTACCCAGCGTTTTATCAATTTTTTATTGATATTTCCGATTGACGAATTTTCGTCGACGTCATTTATATAGTATAGTAATATAGTATACCCAGTATTATTACTATAGTAGTGTACACCTTATTGTGTCTCTGCACCACAACAATTCGTCGTTTTACTAACTTCTTTTTGTGCGCGTCTAAATAAAAGAACACGCGGAACGATAATAATAACAATCAATAACATACTTACAACTACTTATCTAATACCTGGAGCGGTAACAGTTTTTCGTTGATCGTTTTTTATTTCGCGTTCTTGGTTTGATCGGAGCTTCAACCCGTCACGGCGTCCGGTCAGGACACGCAGCGTGTCGTTGGCGCATCGTATTTTGTAATTGATTAATTGCGATGGATGAGGAGTATGATTGCATCGTGCTGGGCACCGGTCTCAAGGAATGCATCCTGTCCGGTATGCTGTCGGTTTCGGGAAAGAAAGTGTTGCACGTCGATCGCAATAAGTACTACGGCGGTGAGTCGGCATCGATCACGCCGCTGCAGGAGCTGTTCCAGAAGTTCGGCGTGAAGGAGCCCGACGAGAAGGAGCACGGGCGCGGCCGTGATTGGAATGTCGACCTTGTGCCCAAGTTCCTGATGGCCAACGGTTTGCTGGTTAAGCTGCTCATACACACAGGCGTGACACGCTACTTGGAGTTCAAGTCGGTCGAGGGCAGCTATGTGTACAAGGGTGGCAAAATTTACAAGGTGCCAGTCGACCAGAAGGAAGCGCTGTCGTCGGATCTGATGGGAATATTTGAGAAGAGGCGTTTCAGAAATTTCCTAATATTTGTGCAAGACTTCCAGGAGAATGACCCCAAGACATGGAAGGATGTCGACCCGCAGCGCATGTCTGCCTATCAGCTGTACACTAAGTTCGGTTTGGACAAGAACACTCAGGACTTCACTGGTCACGCTCTGGCCCTCTATCTGAATGATGACTACATCAATGAACCCGCTGCCAATTTGATTAGACGTATCAAGTTGTACAGCGATTCTCTAGCTCGTTACGGAAAAAGTCCGTACTTGTATCCTTTGTATGGGCTTGGAGAACTACCTCAAGGTTTTGCTCGTCTCAGTGCTATTTATGGTGGTACTTACATGCTGAATACTCCCGTTGATGAAATCGTTTTTGAAGGATCGAGTGTAGTTGGCATTAAGAGTGGTGGGGTTGTTGCTAAGTGCAAACAAGTTTTCTGTGACCCGTCTTATGTAAAAGAAAGAGTGAAAAAAACTGGTCAAGTAATCCGTTGCATATGCTTATTGAATCATCCTATACCAAACACACGTGACGCGCTTTCTACTCAGATCATAATTCCGCAGAACCAGGTCAACCGTAAGTCTGACATCTATGTTTCGTTAGTAAGCAACACCCATCAAGTGTCTGCACAAGGATGGTTTATTGCTATGGTTTCTTCCAAAGTTGAAACTAGCAACCCAGAATTGGAAATCAAACCCGGTTTGGATTTGTTGGGACCTATCAAACAGAAATTTGTATCCATTTCTGATTATTATGAACCTATTGATGATGGAAAAGATAGCAAAGTATTTATTTCAAAGTCGTATGATGCTACATCGCATTTCGAGACAACATGTTTGGACGTATTGGATATTTACAAACGAGCCACTGGAGAAGAATTTGATTTTTCAAAAATTAAACTAGAAAGTGAAGATGTCTAATAATTTTCAAAAATGCATTTTTATCATATTATATTATTATTATATCTCAATGAGAAATTGTTTCTATTTCATATTATCTCGTAATCAGTTTTTTGCCAAATATTGATCTAAATCTTTTTTGAGAATTGAAAATATCATTGCTGTCAAATTATGAAATTTTTCCAATAGGTGAATAGGTGCCTAAAATTAAGAATATTATTGTAGAAATATCTTAATATCTTATTAATTTAAAACAATGTTCATCAACAATCCTTTAGATAATCATAAAAATATTTAACATATATAAATATTATACAACTTTTTGTAATTATTATTTTATTTCTATTATTTTATTTCTATTATTTTATTCTTTTTGTAAAAAAATGTTTATTATAAGTTGTACCTGTTTTTTTTTTTTGTCATTTTTACGTTATTGGCATTATCACGTAATTATGTTCATGGGCGATTTTCTTTATATTTGAAAAATTTCGTGGTGTCAATATACAATTTTAATAAACCTACAAAAATTATAATTATTGTATGATTTTTTTGTCCGTTTTTGAGTAACATTAGCCATTGTGCCATTGTGCAAAGTATTCATAATATGTTAAGCTTCAATTGGTAGTTTTAAATTATTGTTTTATTGCAGTTAACAAAAAATGTGTGGTTTTTTGTTTTATTTTTTTATTACTATCGCCAATAAGTATTAAATCAAATCGTTAATTTTATCTTTAGTATTATTGAATCGATGTTCCAATGATATACAATATAAAAAGTAGTGTCTTAATAACTTTAATGACACTAAGTTTGTGATTGATTCAAAATTTTGTTTGTGCATTGATATTGGTTTTATGCTTATGTATTTAGCTTATTTTCTGCTGATTTATCTAGTGAGGTAATGCTAAGAAGTATCATAATTAATGTAGTAAAACAAGAACTAAATACAATTTTTTCTGAATTATGTATATTATCATTGTTTGCAGTATTCGTGTCTCGTAAATAAATACTTCCAGTGATAATGTCTTCAGAGGTCATTAAGTCATGCTAGCTGATACCAATTGTATTCCGTGAACACAATAATAATTTATATCATATTCAGACATTTGGTATATTTGTTCTAATATTAAATTCAAATAATATTTATTTTATCTTTTAGAATAATTATCTTTTTTTTCATAAGTAATGTCAAATCTTGAGAATCATATACAAATTGTCTGAATTACAATGTTAATAGATTAACAATATTATTTAGTTCAAACATGAGTTCAGGAAAGGCTGTAGCAAACATTCTCTTGATTTTAAATGTCACCATAGCTTATAAGTAAGCCAAAAATAATAATATAGATTATAATTATGCCGTGTCACGTACTCATGGCTGTGAATATGAAATGCAAAAACAATATAGAACTGTACATTGTGGCATTTGAATTCCACATCAATCAAATGGTGAACAAGTTAAACATTTCAATGTAATTGTGCATTTTGACCTGTACACACTTAACAAAATTATTGTATATTTGTACTTCTAACCCTAGCCCTACACACTTATCAATGATAATTTATTCTTATCATTATTAAATTACATGTAATATGACATAATTATAAAACAATTTGATTTGTAACATGATGTATAATATACATTTTTTAAAAATGATTTTTATTAAATAACAATGTAAGTACAACTAGGAAATGAAATAAATATAATTTAATATCTCAGGTCTAGTTGTTCCAAATAACATTCAAAAATCAACTGGAAGATCTTAATTTATTGGTCTTAAGACTTTTTAAAATTAATCACGAGGTTTTTCACATCGCACGTAGTTTCTTTTAGTTTTGATTTAATATCATCTTTTTCTTCAGAATCTTCAGCTTTCAAGAGTTGTACAACAAGATCTAAAAAAATATAGAATGATATTCTCGTTTAATATACATCTTACAATAAAAGGCATTTTCAGAACCATACCATGGTAATTTTGTAGAACAGTAAAGTCCTGATCACTTATGTGTTTTTGTAAAAATCCCAAGAGGACAGATACAAATTTTCCCGAGACTTTAATCATTGTCTGTGTAATAGATTGGAAAAGTATTTGTGTAGCAATTAAAAGTACTTGTGCACTGTCATCCTCAATGTCCGATAGTGATTTCAAAAGAAGTTGACGATTATTTTGTAAATGTTCCCTAACAAACAACAAGTGGTTAGAAATTAGAAGGTGATTAAATTTTTGAGAAAAAGGGTAATATAAATAATGTGTTAAGTATATTATATGTACCTTTCTTTTTTACGATCATGTTTTTTTTGTACTATATCTACAGAAGATAACAATTCATCGACAGCTTCATGAAAATCATCAATCAGCTTAGATGTCAATGATTTTTGAAGTTTTTCAATGGCACCTTCAACTTGTTTATCATATTGGTTAGATTTTGACTGAAAAATAATTAGAAATATTAAAATCTCTTACAGCTGAAATTAATATAACTATTAGGGGATAATACCTCTGAGTTATGTTCTTTATTCTGGGCTACATAGCATTTAACCATTTCTACAATCTCTCCACCAATAGATTTTAACAAGAATGACGTGAGCTGTCCTTGAGTTTCAGTACTATCAAATTTCTGAATACCTTTAATATATTGATGCAAATCAGACAAAAGTAATAAGAGCTTGTCTCGAAAGTCCTGATGCACTTTACGCCGATCACCCATCCGGTTTGCCATTACTTGATCATAAATTTCTTGTGATCTCCTTAGAGCTTCTTTATTCAAAATTCTAAAACAAAGAAGTATATTAAATTTTTGTTATGTATTTTAATTTCAAAATAATATTAATATATATATATATATATTTATTACGGGTAGAGATACGAAACAATTTTTTCTATTAAAGAATTTTTATCTTCATCAACATCTTTAAATGTCTCTTCGTTTTCTAAATTTTCTCTAATTTCTCCTGCATTAACAATCTCTATCATAAATTGTTCACTAGCAACTATTTTATTTTCCTGTTCATCAGAATCAGAGTCATGTTGTTTTGATTTTTGTCCATATTTCTTTTTAACAGCTTTTATCTTAGTTTCTCGTCCCTAAAATAAGATATACTTGTTTTTTAATCTTATTTTAGTGAGCATCAATAACAGCAAATTAATGTAAGCAAATTTAACTATTTATTAAAACATCTTAATAATTATACTTTTATTCTTAAATCAAAATAAATTACCTGTGTTCCACCACCATGTTTTCCGCCAGATTTTTTTTTACGTTCCTCTTTTCGGCTGAGTTCTGGATTTTTATCTTCTGCAAGCTTTTGTTGAATTTTCCAATTTATCAAAGCATTTGCATATTCTCCAGAATCAATAATCTAAAATTGACATAATTTATAGTTTAATGTTTATAATTAATTATTATAAAACATATTTTATACACCATTTTAATAATAGCTAACTATAGTCTATACCTTTTTTACTTTGTTATCTAATGTATTGATAATACGTTCAGATTGTACTTCTATAAATTTATCGGTTACCAATGCAGTTTCATCAAAAATTTGAAAACCCTTTGATATTTTATTTTTTTTCAACAAATATTCCAATACCAATACTCCATCTTTTGTGTCAAAAACTATTGGCACAAAATCCTAAACATACATTTTATACACTTATATTTAAATGAAAAAATATTTTTTAAAAATGGGGTAGATAAATCAAACCATTATATCAATCCAAGTTCCACAGGAAATACATTCATCTATGGCAGCGGAAATATCATCCAATATTTTAGGACCAACAGAGCATGTGGCCAATGCAACTAATTCGTTTCTAAGCTGCATACGTGAAATATAAGAAATGGGATCAGTTATACCAACGCTATTCATTGCTTCATAATCTGAAAATTTTTTAAGTAACATTAATATTCGATCAATTGACAACAGTTCGAAGGATATACTAATTAACATTTGAAGAAATTTGAATAATGGGTGAAAATTGTTTGCTACCCTTAAAAATTGGTTACCATTGACATAGATTCACAAACATCATTATGATACTTAGATACTTAAAATTAAATACCCAAATAGTTATTGTTGGTGTAGAAATTCATAACCCAATTATTTAGAGTTTTAGTATGAATGTTTGGAACATAGGTACATGAATTTCCAATTCGATCAGTTAAAATCCCAGGTACTTGTTTTTCTGCTAACAGACTCTCAAATACAGCTGAAATATATAAGTTAAATAATTATTATATACATTTTTTTTTCTAAAATCATTTATATAATTAATTAGGTTATCATATGCAATACAGATGATTATCTTTCATGTTAGTATTAAACCACTTCAAGAGAATAACAAAAATGATTTGTTTTAAAAATTGAATACTGTAAAAGTAAAATATGATAAATAATTGTGCTTACTAAAAAATTCTTTTTCATCAAGAGAACATTGATTTATTATAGCCGTACATAAGACTGGCCGAGTAGTAGCCAGAAGAGCTCCTCTAACAATTCTTTTAATAGAATTAAAGTAAGAATCAGTGTAATATAAATATGGATTGTTTTTATTTTTGTGTAGGTTAAATGCCAAATTTTTATTGCGTTTTTCAAGCATCTAAATAGTAAAAAATATTTATTATTATTATTACAATTATTATAAGAAGTGGATAAAAAAAATGTTATTTTACCGAATCAATTATATCCACAGGTAAATCAAATTGCTGAGATATTTTTAGTGAATTTATGTGTCCATTCTGTTCCAGTTTGTCAAGTACGTCCTCAGCAATTTGATCTAAATAAGTCAATCCAATTAATTGACCATGAACAATACAATAATCATCAGGTTCATCCTTGGCTAATTTTTCACACAAGTTTGAAGCAACATCTGGATCAACTTTTAAAGCTCTGGCAGCATCTAGTATGTTTATGCGACCTAGAAAATGTATTCTCATTAATCCGATTACTAAATATGTTCCTAATTTTATTTCTATTGTAGTCTTATAGTTATAGACAATGCAATATCATTTTCAAAGACCAAAGGTAAAGGATTTTTTTGACTCTGATGACAAGTGATATTAATAAAAATGTAATATAAATGTTTTGTTAATACTTAATTTTATTAATATTACCACGAATATTATATACATATTTTTAATAGCCTTATATGTTTTGTAGTTAAATAATTAGGTGTGTCAACAGACACACAAGCAGGCCTTCATGGTAGACATATCACACAAACACATATACAAATTTTTGAAATTTAGAATATATAGATAAATATTAAAATACACACCCCCTTGGACATAGGCTTCATCTTTTAATTCCTTGGTCAAATGTACTGGTGTTACATATTCTTTACCATCAGTTGTGAACACTACGTCCAATAGCTTGGTACTGATCAGTTTTGCAACTATTTCCACACAATTTCTTTCCCCTAGTCTTGGAAGACAAAGAAATAATAAAATAAAATGAGATTATATTACATAGTAAGTATCTATGCCTAAGGAAGAGCAGCTACACGGTTACAAAAATTACCTCTGGGACGAAGTGGTCAACTGAATGCGTTGAAAATCGGCAGCTAACAATTTTACTTCGTTCCAATCGCTCGATGACATGATGAATCAGTTTAGTTTTCAGATTCTTATAAAAAATAAATTATACGATATCGTTCAGTGAACTGCCAAACTGGAGTAAACTATCCCGCGTATGACATTTAAGTTCAACGTCTACGGTACAGTCGCTATACTCATATAAGACAATATTAAGATGTCTCCGCTCTCATTCGTAAATCGTAAGTTTTTGAAAGTATTATAAGTTGAGTAATAATATTGCCACGATAAACCCCATGTTCATAATCTTTAAACCTTGCAATAAACCACCTGAAATAGCCAATAGGTGCCACGACATTGATAACAATATTTTCAACCACGGGTAAGGTTGCTACCACGATGCAGAGAAGATAATATTCGACTTAATCTCTACATCGTAATTCGTAGTTGCCACAATGTTCTGTGATTTTGTGGGATCACAAAATGTTATTTAAAACTCAGATCATTATTCGTTTACTATAATATGATCTAAGATCTAAAAGTATCACAGAATCGTCCTTTCTGTGATAGACTCATAAGAGCGCTCACGACAGGCGGGAGCACGGATTAATATTATATTATGTTATTTAATAGTTTATTAATCTGTGGGCGGGAGTGACCAGCCCCAGTCAATCAGTATTGTAGCTATTTTGTCATTAGTTTTTACTTTTTCGTAGGTATATACAATTGTTATGTTTTTCTACTTTTCTAGTTATTAAATTGTAAACATTTTATTAAATTTTATAAATTTTTACAGTTAAGAACTTATGAGGTTAGTAAAAATTTGGACCTTCTGGTAATAGTAATTAATACCTACAGACTACCACGGATGAAGGTATCATATTTTAGCTCAGTTTTCTTTTTTCGTCCTTGATTCAATGTGGACTCATGTAAATCCACCTTGCTGTGATTTATACCAACCATAAAAAATTCTAAATAGTTTTTGTAAATTGGGTAATTACTGGAATACTGTGTGTTTGTATTTGTTTATTGGATTCTGATTTATTTTGTGATTTTTTATACCTCTTTAACATTTTTAAAATGTTTCTACTATGCTTTAAATGCATTATATGATATTATGATAAGATTTCATCAGTTAACTTTCTTGGCTATCCTAATCCTTGTTGAAACATATTGATTGTTCCTAAATTATAGAGAAGAAGATTAGGAAAATTTAGTTTTTATCTTATTGTATTTAATACTACATGTAATGTTCTAAAGTCAATGTTTATTGTATATTTTTTAGGTTTTACAATGTATTTTAAATAATTAAGGTTATTAAGTCTTTAAGACTGAAGATCTACAAGATAATCATGAACACAGTGCACACCCATTATTCTGTCAATTTTGATAACAAGTTATTAGAAATAATATTCTCTAATTATTGCGGAAGGTGAAGTAGTAGTTAATACTTGTTCAGTTTATAGTTATTATTATACGCACTAGAAATTTTATTTTTTTATTTTTTATCTCATTTTTAAGATCAATATTTGACAAATGAATTTCCTAGCCCAGTGTTTATTTTTTTCAATGCATTGTTTGTGTGAATACTGAATACCCATCGTCAATACATTGGTGAACTGTGATTATGGATGATGTAAATTATTTGGGTAATTATAATTGATAACTAAGTTACCCCTTACAACTAACTATTTATTATTAAATATTAATATTAATTTCCAGTATAATTTAAGGTTTATTTGTCTATCTGGGTATTTCTAGCTCTTACTTGTAAAGTTAACATAATATATATCCCTCAAGTAGTTTATTGTAACGACATCCTTATATTTATCGTTTGGTAAAATGTAATACCGTGTAATACCTACTCCTTGAAAATATCATATTCATTAATAATTATGAAATTTGTATATAAAAATTAATAATAATTTTGTTTAATACCTAGATATTTTTTCTCATTACTATGATTTATCAATTTGATAAAATGCTTCAAAATATAACTAATTCAATTAGGTTGACAAATTTTTTATATTGGTATACCATATAAAACATACAAATAATATTTTTTTTATAGACATAACTCCCTTAGTAAGCTACACTCTGTTACAAAAGAAAAGAATCAGTTGGCTGACCAATTTTTGTCAGTGTTGCGCATCTTCCACCAACTTCCCGGTGTTAGTGTTATCCCGTGGTTCTTGACGTGACAGTCGCATCATTCACGATGCTCAAAAAGTGATTATCTTTTGAGACAGGGTATACTTTTAAAGAATTATCACGAACAAGTATTGAAAATAAAATTTATATGTAACTACATACTAACTACAACTTGTAATGTTGCCTCCTATTTATTAAAAATGAATTATTTAAATTAAAAATGGCAAGGCATAATTTCTGCTGTGTTTTTTGAAAAAATGTTAAATGGCATCTATATTAGTAAAATGTATGATATTATATTTAAATAGTAAACATTTTATTTTAAAATTTACTAAAATTACTTTAGTTTACTATGTTATTACTAATTTCCTAATTTAATTGAATTTGTAAAATTTAAATCACTAGTTAGTAATAACTTATAAAATTAATAAAGATTGAATATGACAATTGACTATGATGAAGGCAATACCTAATGCTAATTAATTAAGATATGTAAACCTAATATGTATTGGATTAATACTTAATGACATTGAAAATAATTTTATAATTTACTACTAAATATAAATATACAGAACAGTATGTGGTTTCTTTATTAATTGTTTTAAAATTATTTGTATCAATTGCTTTTTTGTAGGTAAAGAATTTGACAACTATTATGGTGTAGTTTTTACAAACAATAATGAAGACAAAATAAATACCTCGTATCATTTATTAAATACAGAGAATACAGAAAAGCAACATGTAAAAGTATGCCAAGGTAATAAATTCAACCTTTACATTTCCAATGTTTTCAATAAAATGCTATTAATCTTGTTACTTATGTTTTAGTGTTTTTAAGAAAAGTGTTTACATTACTGATACTTCAATTGTTTGCATTCAACTTTATGGGATTTTTTTGTTTATTCACTCCGAAAATACGTTTTTTTATTTATAACTTGTAAGAATAGAAACATTAAAATTAAATTAAACGTCTCAATTCTAATTTTAAATGTTTGTTTCAGTGAATATATTTTATCAATTACATTAATATTAAATGTGGTTGTACTTATTTTCTTACACATGAAACGCAAGCATTATCCTTTTAACCTCATTATCTTAATAATATTTGTAAGTATACTTATATTAAAATTATACTCCCAAGACCTAACCTTTTAATATTATTATTTAGGGTAATATAGGTAAAGTTATGCTGTAAAAACTACACAAATTGTTATTTTAGAACTTCATTAATTTTAAAACATTGTAGACTGTTATAGAAGCTTGTACTGTAGGAATTGTAGTCACATCATTTGATTTATTCATACTGCTACAAACACTATTACTCACCTTAGTTTCAATAATAGCAACAACATTATATTTGAGTAAGACAAAGCGAGTGAGCTTACCCTTGACTGAATATTGGTGAGTGTTTTAAGTTTGATAGTTAATAGTGTTTTAATATTATATCCAGCCCATCGGGTCCTCTGTATGTGTTTACTTAATAAATAAGTTGTATATTTTTAGTGTTGTGCTGATTATTACTATATTTACGTCCGGTGTATTAGTACAAATAATACTGGGCAGTACTACGTATGAACTAGTATTCTCAAGTATCAGTTCATTATTATTTTCAATGTTCCTTGTACATGATGCGCAGGTAAAATAATTTAAAAAAACCATATTTTTATCATAACATAATAATGTATAAATTATTGTTTTCAATCATTGTTGTTCACAGAAATTGATGTGGAAATTACATCCCGAAGATTATGTTTTTGGTACCATTAGTATATATTTTGATATAATTAATTTAATTCCTTACGTACTTCACAAAGTCTACAGCTTTAGGTTTTAAAATCTTATTATTTGAAAATCAAATGAAGCAAAAGTTATATATTTTTGTATTGTTATATATTTATTTTTAACAAAATAATACATATTTTTAGTTTATAATGCACATAAAAAAAATAATAATTTATAAATAAAATTATTATTTAAAACAGTTATCTTACAAATGTTTACAAGATGTACTAAAAAAAAACAAAAAATAATTCAGTCAATGTAGCTGATTAATGATATTTTTTTCTCATGACTTGGTATTCTTTTTTGCATTAAGGAAAGCTTGTAATTGACCTGTACTCTCCAAATAATTCATAACCACTTTTTCTTGAGTTTCGGGTGTTGTTGGTGAGTATCTAACATATTCCATGCTGAATTCTCCTTTACCTTGGGTTAATGATCTTAACTCTCCTGCAAATCCAAACATGCAGTTCAATGGGACCTCAGCATAAATTGTTACCCAATCAGAAGTTCCTTCACTTCCACTAATGATACCATTGCGTTTATTAAACTGGCCCATTACAGATCCTTGGAATTCTATAGGTACAACGGCTTCAACTTCCATGATTGGTTCTAAAACTTGCCAAGCTGCTTCTTCATATGCTTGTTTAATAGCACCTTGTGTAGCTAATATGAATGCTAACTCGCTGGAATCCACAATGTGATGAGCTCCGTCTAATAACCTCATACGTACTCCTGATATTCTATGTCCAGAATATAATCCTTTTTCAGCCATCATTTTGAAACCTTTAATTATTCCAGGAATGAACTGCTTAGGAACGTTGGGTCCAGATGTTTCATCGACAAAATCTAAATTAGTGTTTTCATTAGGTGGCAATGGCTCTAAAATACCTATAACTCTGGCATATTGCCCTTGACCACCATGTTGCTTTTTATGGAAGTAATCAAACTCAAACGGAGACACCAAGGTCTCTCGGAACGCAACTTTTGGCTTACCTAATGTTACTGGACAATTGTATTCTTTTAGCATTCTCTGACCATAAATTTCTAAATGCAATTCACCCATACCAGAAACTATAGTTTCTTTGTTGTCTGCATCGTATTGGAACTTGAAAGTTGGATCTTCTTTTGTAAATCGAGCTACTGCTTTACTAAAATTGTCCCTATCTTTTGTGTTGACTGGTGAAATAGCCATGGACACAACTGGATCTGGTACAAAAATAGATTCTAATGAAAGGTTGAGTTTTCTATCAACAATAAAAGTATCACCACTAGCACAATCTACGCCAAAAAGTGCAAATATGTCACCAGCATATACTTCATTGACTTCTTCCATTTGATCTGCGTGTAAACGTACCAACCTTGATAAACGTACTTTTTTAGATGTTCTAAAATTGTATATGGTGTCACCTTTGGATAATTTACCCTGGTAACATCTCATGTACGTCAACTGACCAAATCTTCCAGCTTCTAATTTAAAAGCTAAGGCAATGAATGGGTGAGTTCCATCCCTTCTAGGATCTAATAATACTTTTTTAGGGTTGTTAATATCATCAGTTGGTTCTAATGCCACATTTTCTACTTCTCCAGGATTTGGTAGATATGATAAAACCGCATCCAATAAGGGTTGAACACCTTTGTTTTTCAAAGCTGTTCCAAGGAGAACAGGTGTAAATGTTCTTTTAATACAGCACCGTCGTATTGCATCAATTAATTCTTGTTCTGTAGGAGTTCTTTCTTCAAGAAACATTTCTCCCAATTTTTCATCCACATTGGATACATGCTCAATTAATTCTTGACGTTTTTCTTCGGCTACTTTTTTCATATTTTCTGGAATATCACCATATTCTATGTCATCTCCAAAATCACCATTAAAATAAATTGATCTCAAATGAATCAAGTCGACAATTCCTTTAACGTTGCCCTCATGTTCGATTGGTAGCTGTAAAAATGCAGCGTTATGTCCAAGTTTACTTCTTAAATTAGTCAAAACTTTGTGTGGATTTGCACCGAGTCTATCTAGTTTATTAATAAAAGCTATACAAGGGACATTATAACGCTTCATTTGTCTATTAACTGTTAATGTTTGGCTTTGTACACCCCCTACTGCACATAACACTAAAACTGCACCATCTAGAACTCTCAATGCTCTTTCTACTTCAACTGTAAAATCCACATGACCTGGTGTGTCGATTATGTTAATATTGTAATTTTTCCAAATTGTATAAGTAGCTGCAGATTGAATCGTTATACCTCTCTGCCTTTCCAATTCCATGGAATCCATGGTCGCTCCCACATTGTCTTTACCTTTGACTTCGTGCATTTTGGCTATTTTACCTGTATAATACAAAATTCTTTCTGTCAATGTAGTTTTACCAGAATCTATATGTGCTGAAATGCCAATATTTCGGATGTATTCTAATTGCTTGGTGTCATTATTTTTTGAAACATTGCACATGCATCGTATCCACACATGGGCATTTTTCAAAATAGCTTTTCTTCCAAAATTAAGTCCAAAATACATTTTTTTTTTTTTTTAAATACAATCTGTAAACAATAATATCAAACAGGTATAATACATTAATGAGATATTATAAAGAAAATAATTAAACAACATTCACTTACTCGTTCTTTTCGCCAGGACTCTGTCGGAGACAGGAGCCACAAAGTTTTGAAATTATAAATATTTTCGACAGATTACAGCAATATTCATGCAATATTGGGAAATTTTAAATGATTCTATTATCTTTCGTTTTTGTGTTATCACCTTAGACTGGACTGCCGGTATCGATTGCTCGTACATTGTATCAGCAGTCGTGCTTGTTATTTCGCCACGAGATCGCGGTTCGCTTCGCAATCGCCATTGATTTTTTAAAATATTTTAAAATCAATGGCTATCGCCCAAAAAGAAAATCATTATTACCTTTCTATATTTAAATTATTTACCAAGTATATACTATTTATTCATTTATTAATTTTAATAAAATTATAATATTGTATTTACTAGCCGAGTTGTTAAAACCTTGCTAAACAATTATTAGTTTGGTAGGTATTAAAATAATATTATTTCTAAGCAGACAACACAATTGGTTGACTAAATTATAGATTTTTAATGGTATAGTTAATTACCTACCATCTAATTATTGTGTAATATAAAGTGAATTTTATTCCCTTCGTGAAAGGATTCATACATTTATGTTCTTCATGCATTTTTCCCAGTTCATATCACTTGTAACTATACTACATTACAAACCTAAATCAACTTGATTTCAAATAGTCATCTAATATTTTATTCATTTTAGTTCTCATAAGACTTATGTGACTTATTATTTTTTCGTAATTCAACATTATTTTTTAGAATCGTCTCAAGTTCAAGATCCAAAGTTTTTATGATTTTAATTTTGAATCCATAACCTCGATAAGTAGTTACTATAATAACACATTTTAAAAATATCTATTATATGCTTACTTTCGTGCAAATAATGATGTGTGAACATTTTCAAGTACATTTTTTTAGCATTAATCGTGGCATTAGTTCAAATTGGTCTAGTAAATGTATGTGTACTAACTAACAGACCTACAATTTTCATAAAACTATCTATATCTATTCTATATCCAAAACGACATCTGCAAAGTACTAACTGTACTTGTACTTAGTTTCTTTAATGAGAGGTTAAATAAAATAATGGGCATGTACCGTTTCCGCCAAAATTTGAAATGACCGATTCCGCCATCGCCCGTTTCCGCCAATTTTAAAAAAGGTTCGATTCCCGTTTCCGCCAATTTACCTGCTATGGTAAAATTATTTTAATATATTCCATATTTTTGATACATGGTTTATAATATGATAATTGATACCATAAATATTGAAAAATATATAAATAACTAATAAATCAAATAATAAATACATAATATTTTGTCACAGTTTTAATAAATATAATAATAAAGTAAAAATCACTTGTTCATAATTAATTAATATATATAATATTTTGTAATTTATTTAACATAATTAAATGCAACACTCTTTACGTACGAATAACGTGATATTAGTTTATTTTTAAAATCATTTATAGCCTTATTAGTCCTAGCACATTTTAAGAAAGTGGATTTATTTTTTGGGGTATTTGGAATATTTAAATTTGCGCTGTTTATTTTAATGTAAGTGTCCGTTTGGACATTTTCAACCAAAATTTTTAAAAATATACTTATATTTGGGTGCGATTTATAAAACTGTTGATTAAAGTGCGAATGAAACGATTCACAATTGTTAGTTGTTAGACATAAACTTTCTGTCATGCATGCCCATATTTTTGGAGGAAATTTTGAATTTTCGTGTATATAAGTTTCTAATAAATAATCTGAATATTGCGTATATTGATGATTATCTGGCATATCTGACATTAAATCAAATACAAAACAATCTGATACGTCTTCTGGATTTAAATACATCAATCCAAATGTGTGCTTTAACCAATTATTTTTTTTGTAATCTACAATTAAGCCAAGTTCTTGAATTGTGTGTGAAATTCACTGTTAAATAATTTTTTAAAAAAATTACCTTTTCTTTTAACGATTTCGTCGTTTTGTTCATTGAGGTAAACACTAGCAGAACAATCTATTTTGTAACATCTCCACCGGTTTGCAGCAAAATAATATTTAAATTCATCCAAAACTAACATTTTTTTACCATTTTTACTTTCTATGAATTCCATAGTACTGATTGTATAATGCGTATATTAAAATAACAAATTCACAAATACGTTTATCCTGTTGTAAGTATTAAACACTTGTGTCACTACGTCTATGTGTTATTACATTATATCTCAATATTCTTATCTGTATTGTATCTTCAATCTTATCGATTTATATACGATGGTCGATGATTCCATATTTAAGTTATATATATAATTGAATAGCATCATCTTTCATCATGGAATTCCGAATTACCCGTCCGGCATCCGCGACTGTCCGCTGGAGTGTACACTATCATATAAATGATATATATATATCATTAATGAGTAAAAATGTACAAGGGGATTTCTCGTTTGTATCTAACATAAAACATTGCCTTGTACTGTATCATGTGAACGTAGTCTCAGTTAACTCAAATTAATTAAAACATATTTTTACAATTACGTATTTATGAAATGTCACTTTTGTTTTACTACTATATTTATGAAAACTATGACAAAATATTGTATATATTAATTAATATGAATAAGTGATTTTTACTTTATTATTATATTTATTAAAACTGTGACAAAATATTATGTATTTATTA